TATATATATATATATATATATATGAAGACAATGAGACAAAGTGTAAAAATTTATTAACCACTAGTTACGCAAAGAGCATCTGCTTTCATTGACTTCCTCAGGTTAGAATGAAAGAAAGCCAAAGATGTATGTGAGTAAAAATGCCTTGGCATCTCTGAGGATAAGTGGGTGCCATAAATCAAATTAAATTACATTACCTTATCACCTCCAGACTCAAAAGAGTATCTGCCTGCCTGCCTGATTGTTTTTATATATATATATACATGTATATCTATATCTATCTATCTATCTATCTATATATATATATATATATATATATATATATATATATATATATATATATATATAAACAAAAGAGGCAAACATATGTATGCGTGTGTGTTTGCGTGTTATTTAATTCCACCAGCAAGGTCTGCCATCAATTTTTTTATTATATTATTGCAATTTTAGAGGTGTAGTTCATTAGGATTGTAGTTATGAACAATTTGTCAAAAGCTTAAGATTTTCTTGTATATTCAAGGACTTTTGACTGTTTCAGTCATTTCGAAGAACATGTGTTGTCAGTGTGGTGAGTAACTCCTGACGTTTTTAGATTGCAGTAATTACATTCCACCTGGAGTCAAAATCCCCATCAGCGGACTGAACCCGGAGACTGTTGAACAATTTCTATACCTTGGCAGCGTACTAACGTCAAATGCATCCGCTGAAAAAGACATCATGGCTGCCCAGTCAGCATGTGAGAAGCTAATCAAAAGAGTCTTCGGCAAACCTGGGATAACATAAACCACCAAACACTTGGTCGTCTATCGAGATGTTGTAAAGTCGTCTCCCCTGTGAGACCTGGGTACTCTACCGAAGAGACATCTGAAATCTTGAACGATTCAATGAAATGAACCTCCATTTGCTATACAATGTAAAAAAAAATGAATCTTCAATAATATATTAAACTCTCGACCAAATCCTACAATTAAATTCACATTCTTTCCCTAATATACTGAACTCTTTATTGAAAAAGACAAATCCATGAAATTATTTGGTATCCGTATGAAAAAATGTCATTGAAAAAACGGAAATAAATTCAGCACAATTCCACGAATCCATCATGTCTAAAACTCCTCCCTGGATGACAAAACAACCAAACGTCATTTTAAAATTCATTGATGTTCAAAAATGCAGAACCAATTCTATCACATTCCATGAAGAAGGAATCACAGTTAAAGATGCCAAGATATGACATACAAATTATCTTGTGTGTGAATGTTTGGTTTAGATTATTTAATTTAAGTGGATAAAATCTGTGACTAACTACGTCCAAAATAGGCTTTTGCCATTTAACCAATAGTTTCTTCATGTGATTCCATCCTGAATTGGCATAGATTTTTTAGAAGGATTATTGAAGCATAAAAAGAGAAAAAATCCTGAAGAACCTCTTATTAACCCCAGCTTTACAGTAAACGTGCGATGAAGAAGGGGGCGTTCATGCGATTGCACTTGCACTTGTGAGAAGCTAATCAAAAGAGTCTTCGGCAAACCTGGGATAACATAAACCACCAAACACTTAGTTGTCTATCGAGATGTTGTAAAGTCGTCTCCCCTGTGAGACCTGGGTACTCTACCGAAGAGACATCTGCAATCTTGAACGATTCAATCAAATGAACCTTCATTTGCAATACAATGTAAAAAAAACCTGGCTTTTCAATAAAATATTAAATCTCGCGCCAATGGCGGCCTCTTCAACATAGCTCTCCTCCAATCCAGGTGTTGACAGTTTGGTAAGTAAGATTTATTTAATTAACTTCTGAACAATTTCTATATCTTGGCAGCGTACTAACGCCAAATGCATCCGCTGAAAAAGTCATCATGGCTGCCCACTCAGCATGTGAGAAGCTAATCAAAAGAGTCTTCGGCAAACCTGGGATAATACAAATCACTAAGCTCTTGGTCGTCTACCGAGCTGTTGTAATATCGACTCTCCATTACGCCTGTGAGACCTGGATACTCTACCAGAGAGACATCTGCAATCTTGAACGATTCAATCAAATGAAACTTCGTCAAATCCTGCCTCACATGTGACAGGGTCGGATCACAAACAACGACGTTCTCATCCGTGCAAAGATGGAGAGCCTAGAAAGCATCAGGACTCGTCACCGACGACTACGATGTCCGGACACCTTGTCCGAATGGCAGACATCCGCCTACCCCCCTCACAAAAGAGCTGCGGAAGGAACCAACTAGAGAAGAGCAGTCTACGGAAAAAAAGGAAAATCCTTCGAGAACTCCAGAAGGCAAATAGAAGAGACGAAGAGAGCCCAAAGAAATGCGGTCGCTGTGGATGTATCTTCAGATCCAGTATAGAACTCATTTCACACAAAAGGAAATGTCGATGAGCACCACAATACTCGGCAACGAGTTCCACCAACGACGACGACGATGCCATCCACTAATTATATGTATTCCTGGACATATTCCAGTTTTTCATCCTGTATTTTTACATTTTACTAAATTTTACAAGTGACCATTATATATATATATATTTTTATTACTGTCCATTTTTGACCATGAAAACGACCTCTGTTGTGGTTGCTTAACATTTCTGGTAATTCATCCAAGGATTCTGATATCAATAAAATGCCATCAACAAATCGTCTCTTTACATCCAACATAGGACTCCTTTTACAGAGAAGGAAATGTCGATGAGCACCTGAATACTCAGCAAGGAATTCTGCGAACGACGATGGCGATGCAATGTACTAATTATATGTATTTCTGGACATATTCCAGTTTTTCATCCTCTATTTTTACATTTTACTGAATTTTACAAGTGACCATTATATATATATATATATTTTTTTATTACTGTTCATTTTTATCCAACATTAAAACGACCTCTGTTGTGGTTGCTTAACATTTCTGGTAATTCATCCAAGGATTCTGATATAAATAAAATGCCATCAACAAATCGTCTCTTTAAATCCAACATAGGACTCCTTTTACACAGAAGGAAAGGTCGATGAACACCCAATACACGGCAACGAACATAATTACATTTGGAATCAAATTCACGTCCTTTCTAACAATTAAACATAAAACCTTGTATTGAATATTTATACGTGCTCTTCTTACATAAACAAATTAAGCATATTAAATTCATGTCACTAGCTCTATCCTAATTATAAACAATTGTAACAAATAACTTAGATTTATCATTTATTATAAAAAATCAAAACGTCTAATTCTTAGCAATAATTCAGCATCTGTATAAAAAAAATAATGCCGTTTTAATTCTTATTTTTTTTTTTTTTTGGAAGATTGTATCTCCAATACTAATAATCAATAAGCAACATTAAATTATTACATTAGCCACACATACACCACACTATCTCGTAGTTTGCCTTGTCCCTTGTCGAAGTTTAGTGCAATGCAGGCACATCAAAAACAACCCGAATACTGTTAACATGAGACAAATTTTAATTTAAATTTTTTATTGATAACACCAATGTTTTATATAAAACTCAAGCAAAGAAAGACTCAAAATTCTAGAAGCTACGATAATACAAAATTATCAACCAACATTAATTAAAATGGCGTTCTCTGTAGGAAATTGTGTACTGAATTTTTATAAATGATAAGAAATGTTAGATTTTCCTTCTTAAATACTTCAATTGTCACGCACACCAAAGTATGACCAGTTGGGAGTCATCACTGCACCAAAAAACTAAGAGTTTTTTGTTTTGTTTTTTTTTTTTTAGATTTCACATCATTCACAGGTTCTTATCTTCTACTGCAGCAGATTGGCCAGGAGAGTCGCGATCGATCCTGTTTTTGGATCATTTTAAAATATATTTGTCTGTTATTCGTGTCTTCAAATTTTTTTTTTAGATCTCATTAAATTATCTTCTTTCTTACTTTTATCTTTCTTTCACAGATCGACATTTTTATATATTTTCTTTTTCATCTTTCTTTTTACATACAACGCCATTCCATTCATTATGTCCTTCTTACCTTTTTCTTACATTCTTTCTTTCTTTCTTTCACAGATCGAGTTTTATATGCCTTTTCTTTTTCATCTTTCTTTTTACACACAACGCCCTTTCATTAATTACTTCCTTCTTTTTTCTTCCATTCTTTTTCGCATTCTTTCTTTCTTTCTTTCTTTCTTTCTTTCTTTCACAGATCGAGTTTTATATGCCTTTTCTTTTTCATCTTTCTTTTTACACACAACGCCCTTTCATTCCTTACTTTTTTCTTTCTTTTTTCTTTCTTTTTTCTTTTTCTTTATTTTTTCTTTCTTTTTCCTTTCTTTCTTTCTTTCTTTCGTTTCTTTCTTTCACATTTCGACTTCTTTATATCATTTCTTTTTCATCTTTCCTTTTTACATAGAGCGCCTTTTCATTCATTCCTTCTTTCTTTCCTTCATTCTTTCTTTCATTCTTTCTTATTTTACTTTTATTACCATCTTTTTCCAGTCATTATAGCTTCTTCAATTTTCTCTTCTTCAACTTAGACTTTCTTTCTTTCTTTCTTTCTTTCTTTCTTTACTTATATGCATCATTTTTTATTTTATTTTCATTCTTTTTCTTTTTTATTCCTCTTTCATTTATTTTTCTAATTTTATTTTCTTCTTTTTCTGTATCTTGCTTCTTCTTTTCTTTCTTTTATTTTCCCTTCCAATATGTTAATTACATTCCTGATTCTATTCTTTCTTTCTTTCTTTCTTTCATTCATGGTTTTTCTTCAAATATTTTTTCAATTCCCTTGCATCTTTCCTTCTTTATTTGCCTTTCTTTCTTTTCTTTCTTTCTTTTTCTTTCTTTCTTTCATTTTTTCACCTTTCATGTTTATTTTATTCATTGCATTTTTCCTTTTTAATTTCCTTCTTTTCTATTTTCTTTTTGTCTTTCTTCTCTTTTTATTTATATGCTTCTTGCTACATTTTATTACTTTTTTATTTTTCGTTCTTTTCTTTTTTTATTTTCTTCCTTTCCATCTTTTTCTTCTATATGTATAGTATTTATTGTAATACATTTTTTCTTTTCTTTCTTCTTTTCTTTCCTTTTTTTCTGCATTTCTTTTTACTTTTACTTTTCATTATATATGTCACTTCCTTTCTTGATTTTTTTCTTTCTTTCTTATATCATTATGTTATTTCCCTCTTTATCTTTCGTTTTTTTTCTTTCTTTTTCTTTTCTACAGATATTTTATTAATTCTCTTGCCACTTTTCTTATTTTTTCCGTTTTTGCTTCTTTCATATTTTCCACCTTTTCCTTCTTCATCTCTTTATCCCTTTTCTCTATCCTTGTCTTCTCCCGTTAAATGATTTGAGCTACTTATTTCGCGTTTATTTTCCGACATCTTGCTTCCCTTCAACTATTCAAATCCTTTCCCGTTTTTTCATTTTATTTTTCTTGTTCTTTGTTTTCTTCTCATCCCTTTTACGGAACCAGGTTAATTTCTTTTCTCCAAAGTATGTATTTTACAACTTTTATTGAATTGATTGATACCAATTCCATAGACTTTCGATGTGTTCATCATGATTCGCCCATGGCTAAAAGACAAGATTTTAGCATTACACAGATCTCTGCATTTTTGCAAAGTCAGGTTTTTTTTTTTTAATTCTTTCTCATGCAAGGAATAACCATTTCTGGAAGAACCTCTTGGAGATTTCATGACGCTTTCACAAATAGGTAACCTCTAAGGTTCTGGCACAATATAAAGACCTAGGTGAGACTGAAAATAGAATTTCTTTTTTTTGTTCGATCGCTTCTTTCTTTTTTAAATTTTATTTCTTCCTTGTTTATTTTTATCTATTTTTCTTTTCATATCTTTCCTTTATCGTCTTTTTAATTTCATCGTTTCTTTATTTTTTCTTCCGTTTCTTTTCGTTATTTCTTTTTTTCTTTTTTATTTCTTTCTTTTTTTTTCATTTTACACTTTCTTTTACTCTTTTCTTTTCTAATTATATGTTCTTTCTTTCTATTTTTACATTTTCTTTTCATATTTTTCTTCTTTTACATTTTTCTTTCTTGTTCATATTTCTTTCTTTTTTCTTTCTTTCTTTTCTTCTTTGTTCTTTTATCTTTCTTTCTTTGTTCTTTTTCTTTCTTTTTTCTTTTTTCCTTCTTTCTTTCTTGTTTTATCTTTCTTTTTCTTTCTTTTTCTTTTGTATTTCTTTATCTATTTGTGATTTTACCTTTCTTTCTTTTTTCTTTTTTCTTTCCTTCTTTCTTTCGTTCTTTCTTTCTTTATTTATTTATTTCTTCGTTCTTTTATCTTTCTTTGTTCTTTTTCTTTCTTTCTCCTTTTATCTTCCTTCTTTTCTTTTTTTTTGTTTCCTTCTGTTTTGGTTCTTTTTTCTTTCTTTCTTTCTTTCTTTCTTTCTTTCTTTCTTTCTTTCTTTCTTTCTTTCTTTGTTCTTTTAATCTTCTTTCATTGTGCTTTTTTCTTCATTTCTTTTTTCTATTCTTCCTTTTCTCCTTTAATTTTCATCTAATTTTCCTTCTTCTCTCGTTTAGTTTTCGTCTAACTTCCCCTTTCTTTCATTTTCTCTTTTACATTTCGTCTCACTTTTCTTCCTTTTCTCTTTCTATCTCACTTTTCTTCCTTCTCTCTTTTTGTTTCATTTCCCTTTCATTCTATCTTTTGCCTTACACCCAATTTCCTTTCTTCTCTTTTTTACCTTTCTTTCTCTTATTCTTTCTTCTTTATCATCTTTTCTTTCCTCTTTTTTTTCTTTTTTCTTTCTTTTCGTTATATTTAGACGTTATCCTTTTTTTTATTTTAAATTTAATAACTGGAAGATCTATATTATTTACATTGGATAAGGTAAGACTTCAAGAACACCAGAAAGCTGTAACACGTGTGGAAGTGGAAAAACCAGGAGTGGCTGACCATATATATAGAGAGAAGGGAGATCACCGCCCTCTGTGGGATCAGGTTGAGATCATAGACAAAGAACACCATTGGAAAATTCGTAAACTTAAGGAATCAGCGCATATGCTAAGCCACAAAAATCTCCTGAGCCGACCAACCATAGAAATGAATACAATATGGGAACCAGTAATAAGGAGTGCCAGAGAAAAGCGGTAATATCAACAGAAATTGCAATATGAGCTCTGGTAAGAACAAGGAATGATAACAGCAAAAATTGCAATATGAGCACTGATTAAAAATGGTTGCTGAATTCATACACAGATGTCCTCAAGGACACATGGCACAGTGGATAAAGGCGTTAGTTAGATCCGGTGACAGGACCCAAAGAGTGTGAGTTCAATACCCGGTTAAGGCAGTGGAGAACATTCAGAGGGAAATTAACAGGAGATAGCTGATAACTGATATCCATTAAAACATGGCATGTGGAACTAGAACAGTCTACCCCAGTATGTGAAATAAAGGGTTCAGTTAGACATTCCAACCACCTGAAGAAGGCCGGAGCGTACAACGGCCGAAACGTTGTAATAAATATGGCGACAGAGATGAGGATGATAGTCCGAATAATGTAAATAATGTACATAATACCTCATCTCAGATGGAAGATCTATGCATAAAATTATTCAATTGACTTTGTGCCATATTAATCAATGAATATGATTATCTAATAAGTAAATCTCAAATTTCATGTAAGTGTCCTCGTGGAAGCTATAAACTAATTCACTATCTAAATAAATAAATGGCAAATTCTCTCTGGCCGTCTGTGTATCTGAAACCCTTTTAACTTTAAGTATCATACCTTTGGGAATCTGCATAATCCTAGGATTGAAAATCTGCTTTTCATCCAGCATTAAGATTTGTGTCTGTTTGAGACGGATAAAGTTACAAACTGACATTTTAAAATAACAGAAAAAAATAGTGATTTTAAAAGTTTTTAATTTATATTGAGTCTGAAGTAACACAAAAAGGTTGTGCATTTTTAAAAACCTGTTTTAAATTCGGTTTAAAATATTTCCAAAACATTGTGAATTGAGGAAATCAATTTTATTTCTTCAAGATGCCAAGGAATGCGAGTGACACAGGTTTTGTGAAGTGAGGTTTTGAAGTTACCCAGAGTTTGTGATTTGAAGAACTCAAATTTCGACCTGAATTGGAATTTCGGTCAAATTGAAGTTTCGGATCAAATCGGTCTTTTAGTCGGGATTGGACTCAGTCCGAGTCAGAGTTAAAATGAAGTTTTCATCAAGTTCCATGGCGTTAATTTCTTCAAAATCATTATTGCTGTTTTCTAAATGGGACCACTGACCCATATATATATAAATAGCCAAGGAAATATCCAGCATTCGCGGCCTGACGATTGCGTCCAGCATGAAACAGCCTGTCGTCTCTGAGTGTTGACTTCAATGTTCACTTTTTATTTATATTTACATACGCTCTATCTCTGATATTGAGCACTTTATCCCATAAATATAGCACACCTTAAAACTATATTTCTTCATATATATATATATATATATATATATATATATATATAATATCTTATTAAAAATAAAATTGAGCTAGTATATATATATAAAATAGCTTTTGTGGTAATATATATATATATATATATATATATATATATATAGCTGTATGTACTTGCAAAATTCTCCTAAAACAGTGGCATCAAGCAAAGCTAGCCTTCTCGTTATATGACGTAGCATGTATTTTATATCTTGCTTAGCTTAACAGACCTTGTTTAGGCGCTATAATTCGTCTCAATATTTAACAGTAAACATTTTAATGAGCGTAGCTTGTTAGTCTTTTCTCCCACTCTCTCTCTCCCTCTCTTTCTCCCTCCATCTCTCTCTCTTCCTCACTCTCTCTCTCCCTCACTCTCTCACCCCCTCCCCCTCTCTCCCTCCCTCACTCTATCTCTCTCTCCCTCCCTCTGTGTCTGTGTGATATTTATTGATAAGCGCATGAGTTATAAACACGTTTTATAATTGAATAGATAGATTATTCAAATAAAGTAATTTTTCTACTTTCAAAATGGTAAGCAAGTTGTCATTACAGCTTGAGAATAAAGAGGGGAATCAAACAATATCAAACGATATCAAACAATTTCAAACAATATCAAACGATATCAAACGATATTAAACAATATCAAACAATATCAAACGACATCAAACAATATCAAACGATATCAAACAATACCAAACAATATCAAATATCAAATGATATCAAACAATACCAAACGATATCAAACAATATCAAACAATATCAAACGACATCAAACAATATCAAACAATATCAAACGACATCAAAAAATATCAAACAATACCAAGCAATATCAAACGATATCAAACAATATCAAACGATATTAAACAATATCAAACGATATTAAACAATATCAAACAAAAAATATTACACTCATAATCCTATCCTCGAACACTCGATCAACAAAAACAAACTAGTTTATCTCCAACACTAAGCTCATTACCACCACCTCCAAGACGATCAGTGATCTAGTTAACAAAAAAAATCAAATACATCAGATGCCGAGATATAATATAAAATGTCTGTAATGCCAGAAGTGCTACATAGGCGAAACATTCAGAAATTTAAAAGCCTGCATCTACGATCATAAAAATGATCTACTTTTCGACACTCCCTGAACTCGCTCGTAACATACAGAAATAAAACAGACCATAACTTCGATTTAATAAATGCCACCATAATTAGAAAAGGACGTGATTTATTACGCAGAAAAGAAATCCTGATAAATATTTTCGCATCAATAGACACACGCCAAACATATTTTATATGACCAAATTTTATAAAATCCACACTTAGAGAATCTAAGGTCAGTTTACAGCGACCGATATAATCTAAATTCTTTCGACCCGCACAAAACATTCCCCAATCAACATACGGATACCACCCACCAATACACATAGGGAAATATCAGACAGAAATAAATATCCCCACTCGATGCAAAAATCCACACACACACACACACACACACACACACACACACACACACACACCAAAACACACACACACACACACCCGCACATTATCAACCAAATCCTGCATAGAGCTACTAGAATTGTGATACACAAACGCAAAAGAATTATACACACCAACGCTACCTGACAAGACAAATATACGCGATGTTAACTTAACAATATATATATATATATATATATATATATATATATATATTGTGTGTGTGTGTTTAGGCAGCAATTATTCATTTATGCATGTTTCATTAAAGACGACAGACAAGTTACTACGATTAAGCTTTTTATTTAATTTTTCTTGTGTTCGAACAAGTGTTTTCTTTTTTGGACACCGAGTGTGTAGAAACTGTCCAAATGTTCTATAATTCCGAGCGCTTTCGGCTATACTTCTAACCATTATCAAGGATGATTTTATTTTTTCAGTTTAATTTAGTGTGTGTTGCGTGTATGCTTTTAGCTTTATAGGGATGTTTTCCGAACACGGTTAGCACATTGTGACCGTGTTCGTAGTTAATATTAATAAGTGTTGGCTTTTTCTTTTTTATTATTAGGGCTTTCATTATTTTTAATCTATTTTCTACCAGTATGTTTCGGATGGAGTCTGGTAAGTGTCTGTGCTTAAATGGGTTCTAATAATATACATATATATACTGAGAGAGAGAGAAAGGGAGATATTTTTTATAAAAATCATTGAAGTGAACACAGATATGAACGGAATGGTATATATATATATATATATATATAGAGAGAGAGAGAGAGATAGACATATATATATATACACACGCATATATATACACACACACGCAGATATATATATATATATATATATATATATATATATATATATATATATATATGCATGTTTCATTAAAGACGACAGACAAGTTACTACGATTAATCTTTTTATGTAATTTTTCTTGTGTTCGAACAAGTGTTTTCTTTTTGGACACCGAGTGTGTAGAAACTGTCCAAATGTTCTATAATTCGAGCGCTTTCGGCTATACTTCTAGCCATTATCAAGGATGATTTTATTTTTCAGATTAATTTAGTGTGTGTGTGTGTTGTGTATATGTTTTTAGTTTTATAGAGATGTTTTATTTTCCGAACATGGTTAGCACATTGTGACCATGTTCGTAGTTAATATTAAGTGTTGGTTTTTTTCTTTTTACTATTAGGGCTTCTATTATTTTTATTTTTTTACAGGTCGATGAGGTTATTATGTGTGTATCTTCTACTAGTATGTTTCGAGTGGAGTCTGGTCAGTTTGAGTGTGTTTAAATGGGCTCTAATAGAGCTGTGGTCAGATCGGTGTAACGTAAGGCATTAATAGCAGTAGCAGCCAAAGTGAATATATATATAAGTCCGACAATTATTTTAAGACATTTTTATGTTTATACCTTCTTTTTTTTTAAAGATACAAATATTTAAGTAAATGCTCTGTTTATAATAAACAGTATTAACAACATTTACTGGCCTGAATGTCCGAGAAAGTCACAGAAAATATTCGTCCTCCGAAAAAAAAGAAAGTATAAAAATAAAAATGTCTTATAAATAACTGTCGGACATTGTCCATTTCATAATGTGTGACATCATTTAATTACATTTGGATATGCATCGAGCAGATATGAATGTACGTGAGAGATTCATGGAAGATTGCAGTTTAAATACAGTAAATTCGACTTTGCTAACCGAACGCTCCTCTGTGGCCAAATCGGTTAAAGGCACGTCAAGCAAAATGACGGTTCCGTATAGGATACAGGTTCGAATCCTATCGGATATGTCTTTGTGTATATATATATATATATATATATATACTCACATTACAAAATCCAACTTTTGACAAAAAATGCAATTTAAGACATAACACCGACTTTCCAGGTACTGTTGTTTATGATACCTGATTATTAGAAAAGACAGTGCACGAACGTTGGTGTCCTAATTATATATATATATATATATATATATATATATATATATATTGTGTTTTTATACATCTAGTATATAATATGTTAAATTCTCTGCTGTGCGCCGATAGCTCAGGGGTAGGAATTATGACTGATGCTAATTTCGAGCTTCGATCCTGGCTTGAAGGAATCGGATGTCTAGTCACACTGATGAACTGTGATACAGCGAAACTGTCTTGTATGTGAATGACTATTTATGGTCTCGTTAGCCAATTGAGCATCATAGAAAAAGGGTAATTTAAAAACAGGTGCTGCTTCTGTTATTTACGCATCGCTCTAAGAGCGAATCTTGGCTACTGGCGTTTGCATACATTTCGTAAATAATGCGTTAAAAATGACCTTTTCTCTGTTATATATGTTATTGTGTATATTCGCATGTGTTTTTGAACATAGAAATATAGGTCCTTGCTGGATTAGATAATCGTTATATTTATCTTCATATATTTATATTTGATTTGTAACCTGTAGTCGATATTAAATTTGTCAAATTTTCTCAATTACAAAGCGGCCCTTTAAGTAAACGCAATTTTACTTTCCTTCGTCCCATCTCTCTCCCCCACCTCGTCTTTCCATCCCTCTTATTCTAACATTAGATTGTCTATGGTGTTTGTATGTCACCATGAAATGTTTCTTTATGCATTAGACATCCGTCAACATTCATTTTTTTCTCTTAATTAAACCCCTTCCACCCATCTCTCTGTTAAGGTTTAATCTCACTCCTCCTCATACTTACACTCTCTCTAAATTCTGTTTTTATTTCCGGAGTTGGGTTTTTTTTCTGTTTTCTTTTTGAATTTGTAAGTCTGATGAATTGGATCGTATTTACGATTCCAAAGGAATAAATTATGACCATGGAATATTAGTGTTTAAGCCTTTTTATTATATATATATATATATATATATTTGAATAAAAACAGACCACTTTAAGTTTCCATGTAAAGGGTTCTGGATCATCAGACTTTACTTCCAAAGATATCATCCTCCTTGAGTCTACCCATACGGATTACCTAGTTTTGCATAAACTAACTATATATATATATATATATATATATATATATATATATATATATATATATATATATATACAAATGAGTTAAAAGTTGCCAAAGATTGGTCCCTGATGATGCGTTGGCCTAAAAGGCAGCCTAGGTCCGGATATTTTCAAAAATAAAATGGACATAAAATTATGTTTATTTAAATCAATATTCCTGTTCTATGGTATCAGGATTTTGTTTCAATATATATATATATATATATATATATATATATATAAAATGTAAATCTGTTTAAACTTGGTGGATGGAAAAACACGGATAGTACAATTTTCAAATAAATTGCCACCCGAGGAAAATGGGGAAACAAAAGAAAGAAAGAAAGAAAGAAAGAACCAGAAACCTCCGGACAAGGCGAAAGAAAATCGTCCAGTACCTTAAATCTCTGGTACAACGAAAAAAGAAACAGTGAGTAATAACTTAATGACGATCCCATGTGGTGAAACCTAGGTGGGTAGTGTCTGGCTCATTAGGATTTATTTATATATATATATATATATATATATATATATATATATATATATGATTAATACAAATATAAAAATTTTCACTTAGCTACTTTATATTCTAATAATCCCGAGTTTCGTAGACGAATCCACCAGAACTCGCTCCGTCCACTCGTCAGGAGATATCACCAATTGGTCGTTTATTTGCTCGTTTTTCTTTTATATTAACTTAAGAAACACGCAGTTTTCGTTATCTTCCGCCGAAGATTGCCACCAAGGATATCTCTGTGGAAATATTTAAATACATAAAACCCGATATCCAGTACGACCACTAATTTCACACATCCCAACACCTATCTCCAAGCTGTCAAAATTCATTAATAATATCATTGCTCTATATCTACCAATTGTAACACTACAATAACTCATGAATTTCTCCAAATTTTAAAATCTATGCAAACAATATTTTAGCGTCACTCGACGTTGGAAATTTATTTACAAATGTCCCTGCTGATGAAACCATCAACATAATCCTTAACTCTGTGTATAAAAATAATTCCATTCCACTTCCTTCCATCAAACCAAATATCCTCAAAAAATGATTGCATGCCTGCACAACTAAAGTCCCCTTCTAGGAATATAATGGCAATGTCTACAACCAAACTAATAGTGTTAGTATGGGGATCCCCTCGGCACGTGATTTTCCAACTAATACATGTGTCACATAAAAACACGATATTCAAAAACGTTTCTTGACTCAATATATATGTTCGCTTTGTAGGGGATTTTTTTTATTTTAGCGAAGACCAAACAAGATATTGATAATCTCAAAACCACATTCGAAAAAAACTGTCCTTGACTTTATCTATGAACCTAGTCCAAAAAAAAACCCATTCTTAGATAGATAGATAGATAGATAGATAGATAGATAGATAGATAGATAGATAAATAATGAAGAGACTGAGATAGATAGATAGATAGATAGTAAAATCCAGGTAGCATCAGAGACTAAAAAACTAAATGCGAATCGAAATATGTTTTTTTTTAAATGTGTTATGCCTGAGGATGACTAAATGTACAGTTGAAAGTACTTGCATATTAAAAAAGACCTTATACAGCTCATAATTATTAAAAACAAGGATCCAAATGTAAACAAATGACGTCACACATTTTGAAATGGACAAAGTCCGACAATTATTTTACGACATTTTTATGTTTATACATTCTTTTTATAGATCCAAATATTTAAGTAAATGCTCTGTTTTATAATAAACAGTATTAAACATTTCATAATGTGTGACGTCATTTGTTTACGTTTGGATACGCCATGAGCAGATATGAATGTACGTGAGAGAATCATGGAAGGTTGAAGTTTAAAGGCAGTAAATTCGACCTTGCTAACCGACCGCTCCTCTGTGGCCAAATCGGTAAAGGCACGTCAAGGTAAATGACGGTTCTGTATAAGACACAGGTTCGATTACTATCGGAGGACGAATTTTCTATGACAATTTCTCGGACATTCAGGCCGGTAAATTTTGTTTAATACTGTTTATTATAAACAGCATTTACTTAAATATTTGTACATATAAAAAGAAGGTATAAACATGTCTTAAAAATGTCTTAATATATATGTATGTATGCATAAGCGTATATATATGAATTGGTAAACGCACTCATATAAAGCTCAAATGAAGTCAACATACATCCATATATGGTATTTATTGATGAATATCTTAATTGCTAATAAACTGTCAATGATTGCTGCCAACTGCAAACACAAGCAGAGAAATGCTTAGAAAATACTGAAAGACACACAAATGAACAAATAAAGAGAAAAAAAAAATGAACCGCGGCAGATTTCGGCCGGCCTGATCTCTGACTAAAATAATGCCAACATTTCTAGAACATTCCCATTTATTTTCTGGTGTAACTTTATCAACCATCTCAAGGCTGGAAATTAACGCACGCACACACACACAAACACACACACACACATATATATATATTAAAAATACGTACATATACTGATATATGATTAAACACACACACACACACACACACACACACACACACACACATATATATATATATATATATATATATATATAAAACGAAGATAAAAAAAGAAAAGAATATATACAGAATGAGAGAGAGACTGATGGGGAATTAAAAAGTGGCGATGCGGATAAGAGAGAGAGAGAGATTGGGAAATAAAAAGAGGCGATGCAGAGAAAAGAGAGAGAGATGGGGAATTAAAAAATGGCGACGCGGATAAGAGAGAGAGAGAGAGAGAGAGAGAGAGAGAGAGAGGAAATAAAAAGAAGCGATGCGGAGAAGAGAGAGATAAAATTTGGAGAAGGTTGTCGAAAAGAATAAATGCAAATATGGCTTCCAATGAGCGGGAATGGTTTTCAGTCGAGAGCAAGATGGTGGAAATGAAACAAAGAAAGGAACAAGCAAATTAAAAAAAGAAAAGAAAAGAAAACAGAAAGCCCGAAACAAGATACAAAGCGACAGTTTGAATGAAACAGAATATTTTTAAAAGTTTTTACAATAAAATAATGAAAGGATTATATTTAACAGAAAGGATTACACACACACACACACACACACACACACACACATATATATATATATATATATATATATATATATATATACAGAGAGAGAGAGAGAGAGAGGCAAACAGACAGACAATGACGAAATATGAATGAAACAGGGCGTGAAAAAACGGAGCAGTTTGAAATTAAAATGGTTGAAATTTGAAAAGACAAAGGGAAAGAGTTAAAATGAGACAGGAAGAAAACGAGAGAGATTCCGCGAAAGAAAGAAAGAAAGAAAGAAAGAAAGACAGAAAGAAAGAAAGAAAGACAGAAAGAAAGAAAGAAAGAAAGACAGAAAGAAAGAAAGAAAGAAAGAAAGAAAGAAAGAAAAATAGAAAAAAAGAAAGAAAAAATTGAGTAAAAGAAATCCTGAAATATGAATGAAAAAGGGAAAAAGTTAAAATGAGATAGAAAGAAAATGAGAAGGAAACCGGGAAAGAAAGAAAGAAAGAAAAAGAATTGAGTAAAAAAATCTTGAAATATGAATGAAAACGAGGCGTGCAAAAGAAAGAGTGTGTTAAATGAAAATGGTAGAAACTTGAAAAGATAAAGTGAAAGTGTTAAAATGTTAAAGAGAGAAAATAAGAAAGAGAACAAAGAAAGAAAGAAAAAGAAAAGAAATTTAGAAAACGAGAAGGAAACTTAGAAAGAAAGAAAGAAAGAAAGAAAGAAAGAACGAAAGAAAGAAAGTACGAAAGAAATAAAGAAAGAAAGCAAGAACGAAAGAAAGAAAGAAAGAAAGAAAGAACGAAAGAAAGTAAAATGAAATATGAATGAAAAAGTGGCATTAAAAGTAAAGAGTGTGTTAAAATAAAATAATTCAAACTTGAAAAGACAATGTGAAAGATTTAAAATGTGAAAGAAATTAAATGAGAAAGAAAACTTAATACGAAAGAAACTTAGAAAGAAAAAAAGAAAGAAACAAAATGAGAAGGAAATCAAGAAAGAAATCAAGAAACTTCGAAAGAAACAAAGAAACAAAGAACGAAATTAAAAAAAGATAAAACGAAACTTACGCAAAAAAAAAAAAATGAGAAAGAAAGAAAGGTTGTATTTGCTCCCCGCTCCCCAATAAAAAACAAAAACGAATAAATAAGCAAAAAACGTGAACATAAAGAAGAAATAACGAAATTAATGAGAGCGAAAAAGAAGGAATAAATGAAAGTAGGAAGCATGGTGGTCAGAAAGAAAAGAAAACTATGGTGAATGAAATAAAGAAGGTTTGTCTGGAACGTGGGTCGGGCCGAAAAGGCGTGGTTAGGAGGTGACCGTCTGGTGTAATTCTGCCTCAAGTGTTGATAAATGGACTGAAATGATTAAAATGGGTAACGAAAGATAAACACCAAACACACACCGCATATGAAAATGATAAATATTAATCCTTTTGCCCGTCGGTCAGACGATCGAGGCCGAATGGAAAAACAGGCTACACAGTCGGCCATTAAATTCACGTCAGCCCGTGCGTATCATACGAAACACCACCCCACACTCTCTCTCTTTCTCTTTTTCTTTCTCTCTTTCTCTTTCTCTCTTTCTCTTTCTCTCTCTTTCTCTTTCTCTTTCTCTCTTTCTCTCTCTTTCTCTCTCTTTCTCTCTTTCTCCAGAGACCCCGAAGCGTACAGAATACAATAAATGCATTTGTCATAACTGAAAGCAGATATTGCTAAAGAACAACGAACCGGAAATAGAGAGTGCTCTTTTTTAACGGCCTTCAACCTGCCACTGATGATATAATGGGGAAGTTTGGAATTAACAACTTAAGAGAATAAAGTTGTGCAGTATCGCGTTCACTCTGTTTTTGTCTCTGCATTTTACTATAGAAATATATGACTGGCGGTAGGACTGGAAGAACGACATTTGACGTATTTTTACATAAAAAAAGAAGAATTGCGGAAGTTGTCAGCTAGTTTTAGTAATGATATCCTGCGAGACTTATTTTCTAAACGCTAATCATTGCTAAGGTCTCTTAATTTATTCGCTTAGTAAGGATTAGTAAAAGTAAAGGTAAGACTGTTGAATTATTCACGACGACAAAACTTTTCAGTAGACCTAGTATAAAGATAAGTACCGCCTAGGACTAGTATATGAAGTGAGGTTTTGTCACAGGTTCAAGAGTCCAAATTTATATCAATGGAATTGGTGACATTACAGGGATTTATTAGTCCCCTCGTGAAAAAGAACAGGGAAATATTGTTGTGGGTGGATTTTTTTCTCGATTAGCATTCATTAAACTGTCCTCTATCCACAGTATTTGTCTGCATATATATATATATATATATATATATATATATATATATATATATATATATATATATATATATATATATAACGACAGCCCAGACACCAGATTACAGTGGTAAAGACATTATCAGCAAAAACCAACCACACTTTTTGAATGGCCGAATACATAGACTTGGTGTACTATGTGCCACAAGATCCCTAAACAACCCTCAACAAGTTTTGAATTCAGAGTTATCCTTCTCCTAGACCAGTTGCCATCCAAGGCTATAGAACCCAGTCTGCCCTGATATTTACCCATAGCTGGAAGGAGAAGAAGAGGATAAATAACGTTCCCAAGGGTCTTAGCACATAAATGAATGCAATGGATTCGACTAGAATTCGAACTCGGCTCTCTGATTCGCTATCCACTCATCCAATATGCCTTATTTATATATATATATATATATATATATATATATATATATATATATATATATATGTGTGTGTGTGTGTGTGTGTGTGTGAAGAAATATAGTTTTTATGGTGTGCTATATTTATGGGATAAAGTGCTCAATATCAGAGATAGAGCGTATGTAAATATGACTCTTTCGCAAATAATAAATACGCGAGCAGCACAATGCTTTCTAAGAATATATGGGAAAATTTAAAATGTTTTGTATGCACGCAAAACATCTTTCAAACAAATTAAAAACTGCCCCCGCCAAAATAACAGAATAAACTACAGCAATCAGTCTAAAACTTGGACGAAGAAATAGGTTTAATTATCTTCCCAGACCAAAACAAACTATTAAAAAAGCGACCTAAGCAAATCCCCCCACCCCGAATTTTTTACTACTTTAATAAAACATCAAACACCGAAAAAAATAAATAAATGCAAAAAATAAAAAATGAAAATAAATAAAAACAAGTAAAATAAATTAACACAAATTAATATATAAATAAACCAGACACTCCCGCCAAAATAACCGCCAAAATGCACCACTGACCCATATATATAAATAGTCGAGGAAAAAACCCAACACTCGCGGCCTGATGATTGCGTATAGCATGAAATAGCCTTTCGCCTCTAAGTGTTGACTTCAATGTTCACTTTCATATATATATATATATATATATATATATATATATATAATAAAGAACAAATAGGAAATGTTTATCAATCTTTGTTTCACTTCCATTTAAACTTCATCAGACATTAAGAAGAAAGAAGAATTTCAATTTTGTTTGGTTTGATTTTCAGTGGTCAGTCATGTATCACGTTTCTTATTATTGATATGTTATTTTTAGTCGGTTGACGTGTTTGAATTGCTATCCCTGTTTTTCTTGATTTCTTAAAATCTGATACAGCCCTGCAGACTCGCATCCATTACCATTCGCGCGGCTTTATGCAAATATCATATCTGCCTGCTCATGATATGAATATCCTGCCATTGTTATACGAGACACTTCTCTTCACTCACTATTACACATGTTAAACGTTAAAGACAGACTAGCCATGAATGTACACGAATGAGAAATGTAACCTAGTCTACATATTAATACAGAGCTATCTACCGTAAACATTCTTTAAACTTAATAACTCAAAAACATAGAATTTGCGGATAGAGGTTTATAGGGACTTTAGTCCGTGTTTCGGTGTGGGGAACCCGAACACAAAATTCATAAAATTATTATCGATATATCCTGTGTATATGTATCGATGTATAAAAGCCTTTGGTGTCTGATAGATTTCAAATCAGCCCACTCCAAATAGTTTTTTTTAATATTAAGCTCATATATATATATATATATATATATATATATATATATATATATATATATATATATATATGTACTAGCAGTATAACCTGCCTTTGGCCGGGTCTTTTATTACTGGAAATTTTGGCTTTCAATTGGAGTAGTTTAAGTTTGAAGTCAGCCCACCCGAAAATCAATACTGGTAACAACATTTTCGTGCAACTGATACACACCCTAAAATAGGGGTTAACAATTTGAATGGGGTTGTTGGTGGATATAAAAAAGTAATTGTATACCAATAATATATTTTAGGAAAGATATATATCCAAGAAGAGAGAGTAAACAATAAAACGTTGCTGAGAGTTATAATGGACAGGAAGTAGTGGAGAGCCATTGTCGCCAACAATTTGGACGCAAAACCGGCACAGAAGAATTATCTTTCAAACAAAACAAATTTCATTAAAATCGGATGAAAGCAGTAGAAATGCATAAACATCTGATCGCACACACACACATTTTGAAAATTATATATTATTTATTTATTTTTATATATATATATATATATATATATATATATATATATATATATATATATATAAAATTTTCAATATATATAAATATATATATTAATTAATTATAATTATTTATACATAATTTACATATATATATGTATGAGAGACTTTAATTTAGGAACATTCCTCATCAGTATGTATATATATATATATATATATATATATATATATATATATATATATATATATTGGAGGAATCGAAACTTTTATCATACAGTATCAGTTACGGTGGACTGGTCATGTCTTGAGAATGTCTGATGACAGGATACCCAAGATTCTAATGTAGAGCCAGTTAGATCAGGGCTACAGGAATGTAGGACGCCCATGGCTAAGATACAAAGACAAGCTGAAAAGCAACTTGTCAGCAGTCAATATACCACATAACATCCTTCAGCGCTTAGTTTTGGAGTGGGTAGAATGGAGATCAACGTGTTTTAGTGTCTGAATCATCTTCAAGAAGCTAGAGCAAGATCTAAAAGGTCACCCATTCTAACAGTGATCTCATTTCACAATCCCCACACTTGCTCCATATGTGGCCTCCTTTGTAAATCACTAGCGGGCCTTAAATGCCACTTAAGAATATTGCATAAACTTTCATAACTGAATCAATAAGCTGTCAGATGCTCATACGTCGAAACCGACAGGAGAGTCCATTATATATATATATATATATATATATATATATGTGTGTGTGTGTGTGTGTGTATTATTTACATTCCATTGTTCGGAATGATTGAATCGTTATTGTTATATCCACGAGGTTTCGGCCGTTGTACGCTCCGGTCTTCTACCTTGGAATTTCGAACGGTGGGGGTGGGTGGCTAGATTATTCATGTCTTATGTTCCATGCCTTTTATGGATATATCAGTTTCATTTAATTCCACTTAGTAACTCGGCAAGTTTTTGTTCACCTCTGCTGTGCCTAGGGATTGAACTCACAACTCCCTGGGTTAAGTCACTGGATTACTTCAAACCGGCGCTTTTGTCCACTTGGCCATGTGTCCTTGAGGATCTCTAAATGACATAAAGATGAGGATAAAAGTTCAAACAATATTTACAATATATCATCTCAGAAATATATATATATATATATATTCTTATCACAGATTCTCGATTGGATTTAAATCAGGAGATTTTCCGAGCCAGTCGATAGTACTTTAATTTCCTCAATTGTAAGGATTGGTGTCTTCGTGCAGGGTTACATTTTTCGTGCGTTTCCTTGGAGTAACGTCCATTGCAGATAATGGCCGTAGGAAAACTAATAGACAATCGAGACAATAATGTCTGGGCGTGATGAAAATCTGATGCAATCACTGATGCCGCAATATTTTTCGAGGCCAATCAAAGTTCATCATACACCCCGAAAATAGATTCATATTACTGTACACCACGGCAAATAACCTAATCTGAGAAAAAAAAAATATAAATCTATATATATATATATATATATATATATATTATCTTATACATATATATATATATATATATATATATATTGTCTTATATATATATATATATATATATATATATATATATATATTGTCTTATATATATATATATATATATATATATATATATATAACAGTAAGATATATAATCCGGTGTTCTTACTGGTATTTTTATTT